GTAGGTCGGGTTCAGATTAAATTTGAAATTAATTTGAATTGAATATACCTGACACGAACATGAAATAATTATATGAATCTTTATTTTTTATACGCAAAACTTCCTAGATATAAAACCACTTAGCCGAAAACGACCAATTAGACCCGTTAATTAAACAGAGGTCATATAATTTTTGATATCAATACGACCTATTTAAATTGACCCACTTACATGACAACCATTCAACTTAAATTTGAATGATTATCATGTCAATTTTGAGTTAATTTCAAAATTTTCAAATCATCAAAATCAACTTAAAAATTAATGAAATCATAATTTCAAATCTAAATCTAACTCGAGTAATAATCGGGCTAACTCAAGCTCAATTTTTTTTAAATTAAACTTAGATTTTATTTTTTCTACTGGCTTTTGAGTTAATTATGACAAATTCATACACATCACATACGTAAGTTTTAAGGTTTCAATGGGGAAAGCTTTCTTACTGTTTCTTAAAGAAAATTTTTAGTATAAAAATTATTTTAAGAAACAGTAAAAAAACTGTCCCAAATGAAGCGTAAATTTAAGTTTTTTTTTTTTTTTTTTGGAATAGGGTATCTGTAGAAACGCAAGCAAGTAGAGAAGAAGAGAAACAGCAAGGAGATAAAGAAATCATGAAGAATGTTTTATTACTTTCTTAACTATTACAGTGATAGCCGTATGGTATTTATAGCCATAGCTGGTATAACTAAGTACACTTGTCATAATCTAATTGGATAGCAGAATACAAGAGTAAATATTATAATTGCTCTTAACATTCCCCCTCAAACTAAGTATTAGTAGTAATGGTTAGTTTGTCCCGAAGCAGTTTGAATCTCGTTGTAGCCAATGGTTTGGTAAGAATATCCGCAATTTGATCAATCGTACTGATGGGTAGAAGGCGAATAACTTTATTCAAAATGTGATCACGTATGAATCTTTGATCAATTTCTATTTGCTTCGTACGAGCGTGGAAGACGGGATTATTGGCTAAGGCGATTGTCGACATGTTGTCGCAAAATACATCAACTGGATCTGAGTGCGTAACACCGAAATCCGTTAGCAGGCGCTTAATCCATATGGTATCGGCGGTAGCAGAGGCTAATGCTCGGTATTCCGATTCTGTAGATGAACGAGATACCATATTTTGTTTCTTCACCGTCCATGAGACTAATGTATCTCCAAGAAACGTACAAAATCCTGATGTAGACTTCCTAGTCGCTGGATCCGATGCCCAGTCCACGTCCGAGTACGTGCGAAGACGGAGACTGGATCGAGTAATTGGTAGTCTGAATTCTGTGGAGCCTTGAATGTATCGAAGGAGTTTCTTGAGCATTATTGTATGAATTGGAGCTGGATTGTGCATGTATTGAGAGAGGTTATTGACCGCATAGGCAATGTCCGGCCTTGTTAGTGTGAGATATTGAAGGCTTCCAATGAGTTGCCGGTAGCGTAAGGCGTCAAAGACTGGCTGGTCGCTTTGCTGAGTAGCTGTAATTTTTGTAATGGAGGGATTAGCGACCGAGTTACATTTATGTAGTTCGGCCATTTGAAGTATAGATTTGGCATAAGAGCTTTGAGAGAGAAAGTACTTATCTGAGGTTTGATCTATCTTAATGCCAAGGAAATGATTTGCCGAGCCGAGTTGTTTCATAGAGAATTTGGATTTGAGCTTGACGATGAGATCAGATATGGCTTGTTCGTTGTTGCCGGTGAGGAGTATATCGTCGACGTAGACCAATTGGTAGATGTGTGTAGTCGCCTTGTGCATTATGAGAAGAGAAGGATCCGCCTGACTGTGAGAAAATCCGAGCTGACGGAGATAGGAGGTAAAGGTTGTATACCAAAGTCTGGGAGCTTGACGCAGGCCGTAGATGGCTTTGTGTAGCCCGACATACATGAAGAGGATTAGTGGCGTCTTCGAAACCTTTAGGTTGCTGGATGTATATGGTCTCGTGGATATCGCCGTGCAAAAATGCGTTGGCGACGTCGAGTTGTTGGATACGCCAATTATGAAATAGAGCCACCATGAAGAGAATCCTAATAGTAGGAATTTTGGCGACATGACTGAATGTGTCCTGATAGTTAATTTCGTATTCCTGTTGATTCCCTTGAGCTACCAAACGCGCTTTGTATCTTGCCACAGAACCATCAGAATTATACTTGGTCCAATATGTCCACTTGGAGCCGAGAATTTTATTGTTAACAGGCGGTGGCACCAATGTCCAGGTGCCTTGTTTTTGGAGAGCGAAAAATTCCTGCGCCATGGCCTGTCGCCACTCGAATGTTTTGCTTGCCTCGCTGTATGTGGTTGGATCATCTTGATTTTGAGTTTGATGAAGTAAATTGAGGCGTTGGACGGGTTTAAGAGATCCCGTCTTGGACCTGGTAGTCATCTGATGTTTGGCGCTTGTGTCACGGGACGGTAGAGATGCCGTAGTAGGACCAGTGTTAACTGGCAGGTCATGTTGTTGGGAGGTAGTATTATTATATGACTGAGAAGTGGAGCTAAAGACATTGCTGTCGATATTGCAGGAATGTCGGATGGAGTGGGGTATAAGTAATTGATGTGGTGGTTGGTTCTTAGATTGAGTAGGCTTAGAGAGAGTTTCTGCGTAAGGAAAAACAGATTCATTGAATGCAACATTCCTTGAAACAAAAATTTTATTAGTTACCGGGTTAAGACATTTATAGCCTTTGGACATCTCTGAGTAGCCTAAAAAGATACATGAGGGAGAGCTTGGCATAAGCTTTGTGCGCTGTCCTGACGGTACCAGAGGAAAACATTGACATCCAAAAACTCTAAGATGTTCATATGATGGTTGAATGTTAAACATTCTTTTGAGTGGAGTAATGTTATTTGTCGTGGGAGATGGCAACCGATTGATCAGGTAAGTGGCCGTTAGTGCTGCGTCAAGCCAGAAGGCCATCGGGAGACCTGCCGTTTGTAACAGAGTTCGGGTTGTGGTAATGATGTGCCTGTGCTTACGTTCCGCAATTCCATTTTGTTCCGGAGTGTAGGGACATGAGTATTGGTGTTGAATACCTGCAGTCTTAGTGAAATTGAGAAAACGATTATTAACGAACTCACCACCGCCATCTGTACGAATGGTTTGGAGTTTGAAATTTGTTTGTTTTTCTATGAAAGTAGTAAAGTGAATGAATGTATTAGTTACATCGGACTTGTGCATAATAGGAAAGAGCCAAGTAAAACGAGAAAAATCGTCTACAAATATGAGATAATAGCGAAACCCTTGGTTGGACGAAACCGGGGATGGACCCCAAACGTCGGAATGAACCAATTCAAGAGGAAATTTAGTTCGGCTAACCGAGTTTTCAAATACTAGCTTTTGACCTTTACACGACATACAAGTAGTACAAACAGATTTAGCAGATAAAATGTGTAAAGCAGGATTGCTAATAGAAATATTATCCAGGACGCGTTGATGTGGGTGACCCAGGCGAAGGTGCCAGCTGTTCGACGAAATTCTGGAGGCTTGTAATGCAGTAACCGGTGCAGGTTGAGCAGCCGTTGCAACCTTGTACATTCCGTGGCTGCACGGTCCTCTAAGGATAACCCGATTTGTCTTCCGATTGCGGTGGGAGCTCCAGAAGTATTACCAGACGACGGGCGTACCCGTCCTCGTCTACCACGGCCTCGAACTGAATATAGTGCTGATTGGTTGTCCGACAGTTTAGGAAATTTTAATGCCGCCGACTTGAGATGGATTTCTTCACTGATAAGGAGCGCATATAATGTGTCGAGAGACAGCGAACCTTGCATTGTGCGGATGGTAGTGGTGAACGACTGGTATGCCGGTGGAAGGTCGTTTAAGATGTATATAATGACGTCTTCGGGATCAACCGAGGAGCCAGCTGAAGCGATTTGATTGACCATTTTCTAGATCTCAGTAAGGTACTGAGTCATAGACATCGTCTGCATAGAGATGTTATGTAACTCGTGTTTAAGCTGGATTACCTTCGAGCGATTAGAAGATTGGAATCGGGTATGGAGAGTAGCCCATATTTCTTGGGTGGATTCAAGATGAATCACGTAGGGGAGAACCTCCGGTGAAATGGTGGAGCACATGGCCGTGGCCAAATTCTGATCGGTAACCATCCAAGATCGCGTATCGATGTTCGGATCGGCATTTTCCGAGGAGTTTTTGGGATCAAGAAATGCTGTGAACCCGTTCGCATGAAATAACTTGGCGATTTGAGTGCTCCAAATCGGGAAATTGTCCGGAGTGAGGGCATGAGGCACCAAGAACTTGAGATTAGAGATTACGAATTTTAATGAGGAGAAGATGGCCGTAGATTCGACCGCTGCGATGGAAGTGGTAGCGAACGAGGATGACGCCTGTTCTTGATGTGCCATGGCTTAAACCTCAAGATCGACCTACTTCTGATACCATGTAGAAACGCAAGCAAGTAGAGAAGAAGAGAAACAGCAAGGAGATAAAGAAATCATGAAGAATGTCTTATTACTTTCTTAACTATTACAGTGATAGCCGTATGGTATTTATAGCCATAGCTGGTATAACTAAGTACACTTGTCATAATCTAATTGGATAGCAGAATACAAAAGTAAATATTATAATTGCTCTTAACAGTATCAACCTGTTGCCACCCCGAAGAGATGCTTGACAGCTTGACTAATTCTCGATGGACCTAAGAGGCACCCACCACGTCCTAGCCAGCGCTTCATGAGCCCCACTTAAGAGACGCTAACGCTCGAGGGGAATCGAATGAGACTCGGAGTACGTACTCGGATGGTATTTTTATTTAATAGTTAAAACTCCCATTTAACAAATTAAAATCAGCTGCGTAATTAAACTTGGATCAAAGTAGCATATCTCATCAATTATTAACACTCTTTATCTTTTAAGACAGTTGGTTTGATTTGATTGTTTCTTTACATTATCCTTCGTCTAGCATGGCTGAGATTGTTTACTGTAAGTTATGGTGATCTGTAGCTAGCTGGCTCACAGGTAATGGTGACGTCGCCCGTGACTTTTAGCGATAAAAGCTAACACTTTTACTCTCCACGGTGCTCACAGATTTCTTACAGAGGGTTCAGAGATCTGAGAGGCCGGAAGATGATGCTGAAAAGCTCTTCCACTCCGATCCTTGGATCACTCATCTCCTCTTCTTCTGCGCTATTTTCTGAGAGCCCTAACAATGGCTTCCAACTCCACCACCACCACCTTGACAGAACGGCGTCCTCTTCCCCCTCCATCCTTCACGGAATTTCCCAGCGTTACCCCCATATATCGGATTCCTCCGAACGAGAATCATCCGCCGGCATGATTAGAAGAACTCGTTCGGAAGGAAATATCAAAGATCTCCTCTCCAGCTGCTCTGATGATTCCCAATCCCACAGGTCACTGAAGCCCTATTTTTCCCGACGCCGAGATGCAGCTCTGGAGACGATTCCATCTTTCTCCCTGTACAGTTATAAGACAGTCGAAGAAGATGAGGAGGAAAAGATAGAGGATCAGGAAGAGGATTATCAGATTGCTGAGAAGTTCAGCTTTTTAGAACATGGAGAGAAGAACGGTGTGGATCTGAGTTTCAATGAGCTAAGCCAGAGGGCTTCCCAGCCCCTTTTCCTTGCGAGAGGGCTCGGGATTGATCGGCTGGCTTCCGGGCTCATGAACCTTGGCGTTGATGGTGGCGCAGTTATGGTTGGTGGTGGTGGCGGCGGCGATGGGAGAGATGGGAATTGTTCAGTGAAGACTGACCATGGAGGAGAAGGTTATGAGCTTGAAATGTATTATAAGAGGGTGATTGAGGAGGACCCTGGCAACGCATTGATTCTCAGAAACTATGCACAATTTCTTTATGAGGTATGATACCCCTCCATTGGTGAAATTATTCTCTGAATGTCGTCCGGAGATCAATCAATCAATCAGAATGTGTCATGTTAACTGTTGGTCGGTACTCAGCTCGGTACTATTTGGTACTCATCTCGATACCCCGGCTTGGTACCGCTCGGTACCACGGTTCGGTACCTCTTGGTACACAGCTCGATACCATTAACATGACGTATTATGATTGATCTCTCTGCGTGCACAGAATAATCTCTCCCTCCATTGTTCGTTCTCCTTGGGATCCTTTTATTGATCTGCTCAAAATATTTAACTTTTATACATCACTGAACTTTTTTCCTAATGATTTAAGTAATCAAAGATTTATTTGTCTATGATGTCTTATTATATTAACTTAGTAATTAGATTAACTAAATCATTATTAGCATAAGATGTTATCTCAATTAATTGCTTATTAGTAATTTATTAAGCTAAATAAAAACTAAATTCTATTTAGTCAAAGTTGATATCTTTTTAATTAGCTAATATTAGTTATTAAGTTTGAATTAACTTTTTTAATTAATGTTTTTCTATCAAAGCTGTTTAATTGAACATTGCTAGTTTTAATTAATAAATTTTTCATTAATTATGATTACTCTTGTTAAATTTTAGTTAGCATAGAATAAGATATTAAGTAATCATTAATTAAATATAAGAATTTCTATTTAATCGACTTAAATTATGAAGTATATTAATTTACTTAATTAATATGAATTATTAAAATTAATTTTCTAAAGTCTCTAATGATGAAATTTAAAGCAACACTTTTAATATGCAATACCCTCATCTTTTTAATGACAAAGAAGTGAGTATCTTGGACGGATTCATGAAGGTGAGCTCCTCGGACAAGTGGCGAGTCCCTTGGGACAAGTAACAAGTCTTGTTATAGCGGCTACGAACGTAGTTGATAGAGTCATAATCAGGAGCGGATCCAGCTTCTTTTTTTAGGGTGGGCAAAAAAAAAATTGTAGGGGATAGGCAAAGATGTTTAGTATTGATATAAATAGGGCAAAAAAAAATTTTGAGGGAGGGAAAAATGCCCAAAATATTCAAAATATTTCAAAATTTCCCTTCTAAATATTAAAAAAAAAATTTTTTGAGGGTCGGCATTTGCCCACCCTAAGCATGTGGTGGATCCGCCCATGGTCATAATTGTGGGCTTTGTAGGTATTTGCCTCCTATAGTTTGGACAAGGATATTCGTAAAAGACAATTGGCCTTTGATGGGGAGTGTTGGCGAAAAACCCTAAATTTCATAAGGCAATTGCCACTTCGAGTGAAGGCATGCTTAGATGAGTTCAACGGTCGAATTCAAACGAAACATATGTTGATCGGTTTTCAAGAAGGCGAACTCCTATAATGTGAGCTTCATTATGGCGAATATCTATCAGTTCTTGATCTAGCTCAGATCTAGCTCAGCGAACACTCCCCGGGGCGAGGCTCATTTTGGGCGAGCAAGCCCCTCGACTAAGCTCATTGAGGGTGAACATATTTGGTACATATTGAGTTATGTTTATAGATATATATGCCAATTCTAACCTTTATGATTGATTTCATTCCTTTTCTAAAGATTAAGGTTTCGTTTGGGATAACTTTAGACTATTATTTTTTTCGCTTTATAAAGCAGTCCCAAAAGAAGCCTAAGCAGAACGCTTTATCTAATTCAGAAGCACATAACTGCTTGTTTGAATAAGTTCTTACTGATAAAGTTCTAAGTTCTTACTGATAAAGTTGTACTTTTCCAAACGCACTGAAAGAAATGGCTTGTTTGGTATCTGTTTTTTTTATTGAAATCTGATCTAATATGCCTGAGTTCATGGCTACAGTGCAAAAGGAATCTTGTTCAAGCAGAAGAATACTACTCTCGTGCTATCCTGGCTGATCCAGATGATGCAGAGACGATTTCGCAGTATGGCAAGTTAGTCTGGGAGCTTCACGGTGACTTCGAAAGGGCTTCAACCTACATTGAGCGCGCTGCTAACATAGATCAAAATAATTGGTAAGCAATGCACACCCATTTCATCTGAGAAATTATTCTGTGCGGACGCCGAACGCAACTCTAAGTCCGGATGTCGTGGTACCGAGCAGTATTGAGCTGCGGTACAGTGGTGCATTCTGATTGGTCTCCTAAAAGCATTTGGTGTCTGTACAAAATAATTTTTCCTCTTATTCGTAGTTGCAAGAAAATATAAAATTTGACTCAATGAATTTGGAAGTTATTGAATTTGTTTTAAGTAGGGGTGTCAGACGGGGTAATCGGTAGGGTTCAAATACGACCTGAAATTGACCTTACTTGAACTTACTCGATCCAAAACCGACCTGCCGACAACCCGAATGACACAAACCTAATCCGACAACCCGTTTGGTTTTTAAAAAAAATTGTAACTTGATAACTATAAAGTTAGGAAGAATATACGAACAAGCAAAAATTTAAAAGAAAAAACAAGTAAACAAGTCACTATTGAGTTTGCAGGTCAACCTAAACCTGAGTCGCTAATAAAACAGGTTAAAATTCCATATTCAAATCCGTCCCAATAAACGGATTAACCGAAACTGAAATTTTTTAGGTCGGATTTGTGTCGGATTTTCAGATCATATCATTTATTATTATTGATTTTTAATATATTACACTTATTAATATAAATTTAATGAGAGATTCATTCATTCTGATCAAAATATATGGACCCAATATTTTTTTCAAAATAAGACATTTGATTTACCTTCAATGTGCAGCTTTGTTCAAGCTGCATACGCCTCTTTCTTATGGGAAACTGCTGAAGAAGAAGTTGAGGAAGACGATGGATCACAAGAACTCAGTGAAGTGCCATTTCAACTTGGCACATTGGCTTCAGCAGGCGCATGATGAATACAGCAGACAAGCATCTGTAGATTATTACGTGTGGTGTCCGGACTGTCCGGAGGCGAATTCATACGCGCTTTGTCACCCGGATGCACTGGGCCCCGGGTGATGTGGTGTGTCCGGATTAGCCTCCAGACAAATCCAGACGCCCCACGTAATAATTTTTCCTGTATGGGCCACTTCTGATTGTTCAGCAGAAGGGATTCTTCAGTAAGTAGGAATTTGACCTTATTTCGCTATTAAATCTGCTAGTAAAGTGTGCAAACGATAGATCTTGTGAAGTTGTTTGGACGCCTGGAGCTTCATCATGGAACTATCAATGAAAATAAATCCTTTGTTACTACTGCTCCAGGCTCATTTGACTCTTTATAGATAGAAAATAAATTGACAAAAAAAAATATTTTAATGTTTTTATTTTTTCTTTTGTGAGTGAACAAGAAATAATCAAAGCTTTACAAGATAAAATAGAATGTAATTTTTTAATATTTAAATTTCTAGTTTAGAATATTTATATACTAAAAAGCTGCGTCTAAAAACAATAATAATGTTGTCCCAAACAAGAACTAAGGCTTCGTTCGGGATGACTTTCTTACTGCTGCTTCTTAAAGCAGTTTTTTAGTACAAAAATTAAAAAGCTGTTTTAAGAAGCAGTAAGAAAGTCATCTCAAATGAAGCATAAGTCTTTAATCAAGCAGAACATAGGCATGTCTACCCTTAACTCAATCCCTTAAAGTACCTCGACTCCTTCAAGATACATTGGATGATTTTGATGATCTTCAAAGGGGGTTAATAGTATGGAACTAGCAATAATATCAATAATAACATTAAACTTATTAAGGTTTCAATCATTGAGCTAGTTCTTGAGCATATTGCATGCATTTATAATCTTGAGGTTAATCTTACACCTTACATCTTTCTTTAGTAATCTTAATTTTGGAAGACCATTTAAAGGTTTTCTTATTTTAACTATCACCATTATAAAGATTTTGTATGGATTAGAAGTAGATTTATAGCAATTCTTTTATATGAGAATATACTTATTTTGGATGATTTAATGTCACTGAAGAGGTGAAATAGTATGATTGATATTGGCACATTTTTAAATATTATGTTATAAGGTGGGCTTCTTAGACTTTATTTTTGGAGAGATTATTATGTGCGAAAGCCGAACGTAGTTCACCGTCTAGAGACCAACTAGAATGCACCACGTCAGAAGTATCGAGTCGAGTACCGAGTGGTACCGAGCCGTGGTACCCAGTAGTACTGAGCCGTGGGTGACGTGGCGTATTATGATTGATCTTCGGATGACGTTCGGTGTCCACACAGAATAATTTCACCTATTTTTGAGGGTCATGGATGAGCTACTCAATGCTCATGTATCTATTAGCCTTCTCTGTGTTTTGTCCATCAAAATATAATAACTTCTAGCTCAAAATTTAATAACTTCTAGCTTAATAAAGTGTAACTTTCTGTCCTATATAACCTGAATGAATTCAATTTAAGCCACTACTAAGAGGAGATTCTGCTTCTCTAATGTCTTACAACTACAAGAAAAATAAGAAAGGGAGTCATCCTTCCCCTATGTTTAAGCTGAAGCAAAATTTGTGATATCTTTCTTGTATGCTTAAGAGCTCATGAGTCAAGCAATATGTTGAGAATAAAACTCAATGATGTCATATTTAGGTTTCGTTTGTGACTATTTTCTTACTGCATCTTAAAGCAGTTTTAAAATATAAAAATTTTAATTTTTATACTGAAAAGCTATTTTAAGAAGCAACAAAAAAATTGTCCGAAATGAAACCTTAAATTATGTAAACTGAAAAAAAAAATACGAGTCGTAATACAATTTGTATTAGAATAAGCTTAAAATCCATCCTTTGAATTCGTAATGAGATTATTACTTATATATGTTCTAAAAAATTATACTAATCTCAATATAAATTTAAAGACACATGCGTTCGAATATAAAGTATGTCATGCATCCTTGCATTATTTTTTATTTTTCTCATGTGAGCAATGAATTGCATTGGAAAAGTCATGAAGGGCTAAGATGGCTTCAACATTATTATGTTATCACCAAGAACATTGTTGCCTCTAAAGGAACCTTCAAATTGACAAGAGCTCTTCCCTCCATGAATTTAGGAGAGAGCTTGGCATCAATAATTATTCAAAGGAAGAAGTGTCATCCAAGCACCTTGGTTTCCAAAAATCTTTTCTCCTCTCATTATACAATGTATTAGGATAGCTTTAATTATAACATGCAAGAAAAATAGACATGAAAATATAAAGAGAATGTGTTAAGGGGAGAGCAAAAAGAGAAGCATCAAGGTACGCAAAGGTAGGCGAAAAATTATGTGCGGACACCGGACATCGTTCGAAAATCAACTAGAACGTGCCACATCACTTTTTATTGATACCGGTGCTAGGTATCATTGTGCACTGAATGACGTCGGGTGTTCTGGTTAGCCTCCGGACAGTCCGATGTCTGCACATAATAATTTCTCCTATATTAGAGCAAGATGAGCACTTATATGGATAGTAAATAGGGCTACAAATGAATCAAATTTAGCTAAATTGCATAGGAGCTTATTTGAGATTGAGCTCATATGCCAAAATCCTATTCAAGGTCAAGCTAACACTTGATTCAAGAATTTGTGATAATGTTTAACCTCAATTCATCTAACATTATGATTTGTTTGAGCTTGATTCGAGTTTGATTCGTTGGCTAACCAAACAAGCCTTATCCAAACTATTAATAAGAAACAATATTGAACAACTTATTAGTCAACCAAACAAATCTTACTGAACCTATTAATAAACATTCTATTAAGCTTGCAAATGAAACTTAGATTGGATGAAGTACTAAAAAAATAAATAATTTAATGAACATAAATAAATAGCTTATGTTCATTAACAAAAATAACATAATATTTAAAATTAAAAAAATCCAACATAATCACATATTAATTATATTTGTAATCATATCTTAAATGAGCATATTATCAAGCTTTGATAAAACTTCTTAACAAGCTTATCCAAAAATTCTAAATAATATGTTTGAAATCATAAATGAATTGAGCACGAAACTATTCAAGCTTGTACATTTATCAATTCGATATTACTAAAAATATTTAAGCTTGTTCAATTAGTTAATTAAACAATCATAACCAAGCTCTAATCGAGTCGAATCTAATTTGACGAATGTATTAGTTCATTTCCAACCTTATTGAATAAATATCTTAAACAAACACTCTAAAAGGCTAAAGAAGAAAAAAATCTGATGATCAATCTTTTTTGTCCAAATGCAATCCTAATGAGTGATGATTTCTTTGATAACCATCAAGAGCTATATGCATCAATAGGAAACATAACACACCCCCATGCTCTAACTCAACATTATCAGCCAATGAGTATCACACATCATGTAGTTATCAGCATTGAAACCATTAGCCAACTGCCATCAATGCACATATGGTAAGATGCATTAATATTTAGGGTGTTCAATATACATAAATATACTAGACTTTGGTGACATTTTGGCTTGATTTTTCCAAGCTTTTAATAAGGGGAAGAGAGTTCAGATTTAGGAGAAATTATTTTGTGCGGAGACTGGTCGCAAAACGCCGTCCGAAGACCAACCAAAATGTGTCACGTCAGGTATCGAGCCGTGGTACGCTGTCCAAAAACCAACCAGAATGCGTCAGTTCAACAGTACCGAGCCGTGGTACCGAGCACAGGGGTGATGTGGTGCATTCTAATTGGTCTCCGGATGGTGGACATTCGACTTCCGCACATAATAATTAATCCAGATTTAGGTAGAGGTACACACACCAACAACACTGATATTTGACTGCATCCACTTTGAACAGATTAAAAACACAAATCACAAAACAAAGCACTTGATGCCACTGTGCAGTTCAATTAGTTCTTAAAAATAACTGCACATTTTTATAAGAAATCATCACATTCACAGAAAAGGAACCAGATTTCAACAATTCAAACAACCAGCTCAAAATCTCTCTTGATATATTGCAAACAAGAAAACGGCAAGTCAAGAAGAGATTCTACCATATTGGATTTGGACAAAAGAGCACTCAGCACCAGGTCCCGACTCAAAGAAATCCCTTGATGAACTCTCCCCAACCCCACGCCATTAGAAGCCACAAGAGTAAGATTACATAGCCAAGGAACTGAAATAATGAAAGCAAAACCAAGGCTCTCCTTATATGCTCTACATACCTGAGTAACATACGTACCCATTGGAAGAACACCTCCATCCGAATCCGCATGGAGATTAACCACCACAGTCCCATGAACAGGATGAAGCCTTCTTTGAAGAGATTGAAGAAAGGGGCCATTTGAGTCCCAAAGCTTTCGAGGGAATATGTCGTCGCCGTCATAAGCATCTATGAAGATCAAATCATACATTTTGGAACTATGGATGATGAAGTTCTCGGCGTCTGATCGGTAGAGCTGCAGTTGGTTATGTAGTTTGCCCCAGAGAAATTTGTCAGAATCAGAAGGTTGTGATGTGGATGCTTGTTCCAGTTGTTCTACTGCAGCAGATGAAGGGAAGCCCATTGCTTCGATTGAGGCTGAGATAACAACAGGATCGATTTCAACAATATCGATCGTAGCACCTGAACAGAAAAATCACTCTCATTTGTTAACATGGTACAGTCTTTGGAGGTATTGTAGTGGCGGTGGTTTAGTTAAAATCAAGATTGTGAAAATCGGACTGGACAATGAATTAGTAGAAGGAGAAGGAGAGGTACATGGTTCAACTGGGACTAAACCGGATGACGTAAGAAATAAAATTTTGATGATATAAAAATTATATAATAATATAATTTTTTTAATTAAAAATAAATTAAATTTCCACAGTACTAATATCTTATGTAATTTTAAATATGTAAATAAAATTTAAAAAAAATAAAAATTTATATAATAAAATTTAAAATTTATTATATGCTATATCAATGATATTATCTATATAAAAAAAGAATGTATGAAACCATTTTGTAAACATCCAAGCAAATGATCCCATTAAATTACATATTTAACAAAACTATAAAAGATGAAAAAAAAAATAAACAACAGCAATAACGCTGACTAATATAATCCCTAAATATATTTGAAGCATAAACCTAATGACCATATAAAGAGAAGCAATCACCCAACCAATGATTGAAAACAACTTTTATTCATATATACTTGAAATATCAATATTAATGATGTAAGAAAAAAAAATCTGGAGCTTGAATCTCCTAGGACATCCCAAGATTTAAACCGCACAAAAAATTAAAAAAAAATCAAAGACAGATTACTCATAAAAAAATTTACTATGAGCCTACTAAATATGGAGCTTGGCTGTATTCCTCCTCAATGTCTGATACTAATAGATCATATTCTTGAACTTCTCTTTTTAGCTCAATCATCTTCATTTGATCCTTAGTCTTGACTTTCACAAATCGAAAAGTCAAAAAGGTTGATTTTTCCAAACTATAAAGACACATAAAATTATAAAATGAGAATGTGGATAACTAAAAATATCCAGAATAATCCATTTTTAAATAAGAAAAAAATATCTTAGGAGTTTAAATTTCTTCTTAGCCATTTCCAATAAAAAAATATCAAAGATTGGAATAACAAATAATACTATCACAAGGACGTTTCAAAAAAAAAATGCTAGTGGATTTATGATTAAATCAATACGAAGTCTACAAAACATCAAAAGAGATATATCCAAGGAAACAAAAGCAGTATTCTCGATAATTAACTGAATATTCCACACATAGTAATTAAGAAATTACAGAAAGTTCTAACTCGACAACCTCAACAGGCAACAAAGATGGCTGGCAACAACACATAGGAAGCCCGACAAAACAAACTATTTGCTTACAAACATTTGATTCAATTAGGATGCCACAGTAATTTTGGTCAATTCATGTTTTGTAAAACTTCGAGGCATTTAATTTTTAGAACTACTTGGTATCATATATGTTAAATCTGATTAAATTTTAACAATTTATTTGACAAAATTTTTGAGATTCTGATTTAAATATAGAATAAGAGACATAAAAGTGATGTAAACCTAAAAAATCGTGATTTTAAAATTTTACTGAATCTTATATTAAATGATAAGATTTGCATAGTTAAAATATTTATTTGGTAAATTTTAGCTTATGTTCTGTTTGGATAGGGATTTTTCTGATGATCTAGACTAAATTTTGATTAAATTAATCTAAGAACAAAACATCCACAGAAATCTAGTGATATAATATAAAAAAGAAGAAAACAACAACATCAATACAATTGCAGTGACTTGTATAGAAAGATGCAACGATTTAAGATACTAAAACAACATGTAATAAAATGTCTGATGCCATTGAGCGCAAAATGGAAGTTGAAGAATACATAGGAGAGTTATCGGAGAAGACCTTACTCCCAGTCTACCCCCTCCAACGTCGCCGCTGCTGCCTCCAAGTTCTCTCTGCCTCCTCCTTTCTTATTTCTGGCGGTTTCTCCATCCTCCTCCTCGCCTCCGCCATCCCCCTCCTCTGGCCATCCACAACCCTGATCTCAGCGTCGTCTGCCTCCGCCTCCGCCTCCGCCTATACCGATATACAGTTACACCTCTTCCCTCCGACTCGATTCACATTGCAATGGGATTGGAAGTCAAGATTCGCAATCCTAATTTTTTTGCGATTTACTATAGCTCGATTGTCTCCTCCATCTTCTACCGCAGGGAGCTGCTTGGATCTGTGACCTCTACTGGTGGGCGCGTCGACACTCGAAATGTGTCTTATGTTGACGCATATCTTCATCTTGATAGGTTAAGGTTCCGGAAAATGAGATTTATTTGATCGGTTTCTCCTACATTCTTCCAATTGGTTCGAAGTCACAATGGGAGATGAGCTGTTTGTTTTCATCATTTTCTCCTATAGACTGGTTTCTCCTGCGCCGTTTGTTTTATGTGTTTCTCCTACATCGTTTGTTTTCTAGGTTTTTATTTGAACATCTGTCATTTAGTTTATGCTATCTCAGTTATTCCCGTCTTTCTTGTTTTGATTACTATTTTTTTTATATAATTTGCAGAGTTTTCGCCGTTATAATTTTTTTATAATGCATCTGAACAGTGAAGGTGCCTGTGTAATTTAGAAGGCAAAGTGCTCGAAAGGTATGAGTAAGTAACAAATTATTATTTGCAACTAAAACCTATCTTTGATTTAAAACATACAATTAATTATTTACCTCAAACTACATATTAGTTGATGATTTTTTGGGTTCAATTCTTCATTTCAAAAAAGACGTTACTAATTTTGATTGCTGTAATTACTTTGAAAAATTACCAATGCGAAGTCATTTCTATTATTTACTAATGCAAAGCCATTTGTCTTACAGACTTATCTATTCCTCACCGCCACTTTGGTAACCTTTCTCTACCCATCAAATAATACTTTGTTTCTTTATATATATGTTATATAGTTTGTCAAAATAACAATATACAATATTATATATTGTTCCCCTATAGAAATAATTTTCTTTTCTCATTGCTCCACGACTTTTTTTTGAAATAGCTAAGAAATAGCTAATTGTGGCTGATTAATTTATAGCCCTCATCATCTCCTCTCCTACTCTAAACGATTCTGCTACTCGGCTTACTTGGCTTTGAACGATCTTAATATCCCAATTGAGAATGTGCACATAACTAAGGATTCACAGGTGGAGATCTCTCAGGAAAAGTTGGTTTCCTTCCGATCGCCAAGGTCTTCTCTGGTAACTCTCCTATGAATTCTTCAACTTTCATTTTGCGCTCAATGGCATCAGGCATTTTATTACAGGTTGTTTTAGTATCTTAATTCGTTGCATCTTCCTATATAAGTCACTGGCAATTGTATTGATGTTGTTGTTTTCTTCTTTTTTATATTATATCACTAGATCTCGGTGGATGTTTTGCTCTTAGATTAATTTAATCAAAATTTAGTCTAGATCGTCAGAAAAACCCCCATTCAAATTAGACCTGTCAATATTGGACCCGACCCGAAAACCCGATCCGAACCCGACTCGTAATTTTCGGGTTTGGGTTGACCCGAACCCGAAGCACGTCGGGTTCGGGTTCGGAAAACCGACCCGTTTGCAAAAACTGGACGGGTTCGGGTTGACCAACGGGTTGCCGGGTCAACCCGAAAACCCGTTTAACTTAAAAATTTTTTATTCCCGCCTCTTTGCCCGCTGTTCCCGCCTCTTTGCCCGTTGCTTCCGCTGTCCGAGTCGCGTCGACGCGTCCCAGGCGAGGAGCTGTCCGAGCGGTCGAGCGGAACCGCGTCCGCAGGCGAGTGTGGACCTCCGAAAGAGCACCGCTCGTGGGGTACGAACGCAGAGGGTACAGCCGCACTATCCCGTAGGACAAAACGATCGTAGGCCTCTACACTCGACACGAATGGGTCGATGGAAGGGCAGATTGGATCGTGCATACGACTAACCATTGGGGA